AAAAATTAATAAATAAACAAGATAAGGCTGAGAAATGGACATCTTTAGCAGGGGGTGGAGGAGAAGAGCAATTTAAAGTCTTGCCTTTCTTTGTTATCAGTTTCTCATAAAAAGGGAAAAGCACTCCAACAGTTGAAGTTTACATTCTCGTGTAAATATATGTCAAAGTTCACAAGAATTGTGAAAACACAGGTAGAATTCAGAAAATTTTATGAGCAAGATATCATTTTGTGAAACTTGACATTTACTTTCTCGGGCTCTCATTAGAGATAACTAATTACATGTAGCCCTTGGAAAATTTAAAAGAATAAAATATGCTTTAAATTTATTCTGGTACAAGGTTTTTGTCCACTGAAAATTTATATTGCTCAATTTACTGGTGAATTCCGTCTTAATATTAATTAATACTTATTATTATTATTATTATTATTATAGTTATAACTATTATTATTATCATTATTATTATTATTATTATTATCATCATCATCATTAACTTGTATGTACCATTCTATTGAATTACTTTTTGTTTTGTTGTTTGTTTGTTGTAGACTCTACCCCCGCTTCCCCAACCGTTCCAGGTAAGATTTGTTGAATTAATGAGCTCCCAGAAAACTCCTTTTTATTACTTTTTAGTGTTTGTCAAAAACTTCCTGGGCCCAGTTGCTCAAAGCATGGTTAGCGTTAACCAGCGTTTAATACCTTGACAACGTATTGGTTTTGTTACCGCTTAACCAATGGTTAGAGCTAACCATGCTTTGAGCAGCTCAGCCATGGCCTATGCGGGAAATGTCGTGGTGGGTGCCACATTTTGTCATAAGAACTCTAAAAAACGATGTCAGCTGATTTTATCTTTCGACAACTCGTGAGTTTTTCTTGAAAGCTGCCCAATTTTTTTAAGTTGCTACCCGTTTCCATTCTGCCCCTCAAAGGCCAGAGACATACAATGATAATTGAGGTATGGTAGTAGAGAAAGTTGCAATAAATAATGGTAATTGAACTGAGTGGAGTGCAATTTGGACTGAAATCATACGCGTGATTTTAAAATCAGACCAAACTTGCACGACACGAAATTCAATCACCATTTTATTACAGCCATATTGAAATCGCAGAATTCAGTCAATATCAATATTTATTTGATCAAGTACCGGTTTGTTGAAAAGCGGAAACATCTAGAAAGGCCTTTACATCTCATTTTTTACCCGAACAGAAGTGACGCAATAGAGAGCGGAAATGACGTGATTTAGAACATGAATCACGCGACTTGGAACAGATTTGATTTACGGCAAATTTTAAAAAAAAGTGTGATTCGTGAAAAAATCACACTGCTGAGAGCCAATCAAATTGCAGGGACTACCATTAATTTCAAAATGAATATAATAAAAATAGAAAATGAAGCATTTTTTCAAGGTTTTCTTTAAGTATATAATAATCGTTTTAAGGTTTTATACCAAAAAAATTATACCAACAAATAGCTGATGTAAAGCGTGGTATTTGAGTAACATGCTTACTTCTAGAAACCTCAATACAAACAAACTTGATGAATTGTATTAACATTTCAAACACACTACTGCTCCGCTAATAGCGATTTATTGATTTGTGATTCAAATCTCTACTGATGGTTTTATTTCTTCTGATTATGTAATGGGACATAGATAGGCTATGTTCACAATATACCAGATAGCTTTTAGTGCCTACACCAAAAATTATTCGGGACAGTAAGGACCTCAACTGCACAGAACAGGATTACATCAAACATCGCGCCAGAGCGATTGGCCGAAGGGTTTGGTGAACTAAAACCCAGTCCTCACCCCTGAACTTTTTCTTCCTTTAAAGTGGATTCCAGGCTTCTACTTTATTCACTGCCGCTAATTACCATTTCACACTACTCTAAAGTGTGACACAAATCCCATCCAAAAATGTGATGCTCCACGTTTGATGAGACTGTCAGCTCGATGAACCTTCGCATCTTTACAGTCAGTCACGCCGAATCACGTCAAAAACCGGTATAGTGTATGCTAGCCTTAGATTGTTGTTGTTGTTCTTGTTACTGCTGAAAATAAACAAAAATTGATATTTTTTTTCTGTCTTGGAAAGCTATCATTCCTTTGATCATTTTTTCAAATAGAAGTGTAGAAGTACAATAAGGTTATATTAATAATCGGCTCTTGGTTAGATAGAAGTTCAATTAGGTTTACCTTTTTGTTTGTTTGTTTGTTTTTTTTCTTTTGTTTTTTTTTTTCTGGGTCTGTTTTAGTAACCACTGACTTCTCCAGCCCGACTATACCATCTCATCCGGGTAAGATTTTCACAATTACTTTATTTCTTATTGTTTCTTATATATTTTCGTGACTGTAACGGCATTAGGTACGCCACCCATCCCGGATGTATACTCTTTCGTTGAATCACGGGAACAAGTATTTTTTGGGTAAATGCCAGAGGTACATATTTATTTTGTTGCAATTGCTAAAGGTTGATTGTGTCAGACTGTAGATGGTAAGCCATTCAAAGTCTTACCATCCTGTTAAGATAGGAGCTCGGCTTTAATGCTGTCTTAATTTATATACTGTGTTATTCTGTTAAAATGGTTCCTTTATAAACAACATGTAGATGACATAAGGCTGAAGTTTTCTACGTAGAGAGACTTATGTTTAGTCTGGTAAAAAGTAACAGATAATTGGTCACAACTGGAAAAAAAAAATTTTCGTAAAAGTAAAATCCTACTTAAATTCAGTTCAATTAAATTTTTTTAAAAACGGACCGTCTGATATCTGCAGAAATCAATGTCACTTGTGATCAGAACGAGATGGCCATCAGCATACCAAAGCGCCTTCTTCCCGCTTTGGACAAAGAGCATCTTCGTCTCATTGATGTAGACTGTGGAGCCATAGAAAGCAGGAACCATTACATTCTTCGTACAAACCTCACTGGGTGTGACACAGTCAGCAGGCACACCGAGAATTTCGTCTATTATATGAACAAGGTGGAGGAGATTCCCATCAAGCCAGATCAGATCATCACACGAGTTCGGGAAGTGGAAATTCCCTTCAGCTGTTATTACTCAAACACAGGGGTCATATCCGCCGTTGGCCTTGAAGTTAGAAGCAAGAAAATCATTTTCTCTAAAAGAGGATTTGGAAAATTCGTGTTGGATATGAAAGTTTACCCAACTCCTAGTTTTAGTCTTGAGTACAAGAAAAAGGATTTCCCAATAGTCGTGCCTCTCAGGAAATTGTTGTACGTGAAAGTCAGTGTTGATTCAGATGACCGCAGGCTGGGTGTCTTGGCAGTAGATTGCTGGGCCACACCAAACGCTAATCCTTTAAGTCCTGGATTGCGATATGAATTCATCAAAGATGGGTAAAAAGTTTACCTTGTTTTTTCACATTAATTAAGATTAAAGGTTTGTTTATTGTGGAAAGGGCCACAGGCTTATCAAGGTAGATTACAGGAACCCCACTCAAACAATTAGAAACAAATTATTCAAACATAAAAAAAGCTCAACTGGCAGGAGGCAACCAGTTGACTCTGATTAACAAACGTGGCCAAGGATTTGAACTCGGAGAACAGAGAACAAATCCAGAGAGTGGAAAGAGCAGGACTCGATCCCTCGACTGCCGGATTGCGAGTCCGACCCGCTGACTACTCGGCGACGCTGCCTCCTCTTTTTGTAATCTTCCTACTTAATCCGTGGACAACTAGAGCTTGTGTGCAAGCCGTAAGATTGCATGAGAAATAAATGGTTAAATAGTGAAAAATGTACATTGACTTCAAAATCCATAATAGAATTTACCTGCTGCATGCACCTCTTTTCTGGTAAGAAGTATAAAATGACTTATGGCGTCCCTGGTTAATGAGTTCTTGAAGGCTAATTTTCACTACCGATGAAGTCGGAGACGAAATAGTAAGCAGTATGACCTTGTGAAAATCAAAACTCGAAGTCGTGAGCGGAGTTATAAATGCAAAAAAATCGAAAACGTAAGAATCGGAACTTTTCTATTTTCTTCCTCTCTGATTCTATCGTTAAGGACCTGGCAAAAAACACATTGTCGGAGTCGCATTCTGGATAAACCAATCACAAGACTAGTTCCCTCTCTTTGTGACTGGTAAATTTCTTTCGCTTTTGCTTAAGACTCCAACAACCTATTTCTCCCTAGACCTTTAGCGACAGAGTGGTATGCGGAATCAGAACCATATCAGTTTCCAGTAGATCGTAGAGCTCTACGCTTTATTTATTACTACTGGTCCTAATATAGCCTCCCACGCAGGCGTTTTTAAGGGTCTCGTATTTCGTCCCTCCCCAAAAACACTTGCGTGGGAGGCTAGCCAGATACGACTCCAACCAAGAGCTCTTGCTCCGACTTAGTCGCTTGTGAAAACCAACCTCATTACATAATAATCATGTTGGTATTGATATCAACAGGTTCTTTTAGGTAAAGAAGATTTCGTATGTCAAAGAGGCTCTAAAATAACGAATCCCAAATCAACGGAGGCAAATTAGCTGGCTATTTACAAGCGTGGCTGAAGATTTGAAGTCGGAACCACGGTGAAAAAATCCAGTTAGCAGTCAGGGCTTGATGAGGGGGGCGGGGAGGGAGAAGGCGGGTGAGGGGAGTCCGAATTTCAGAAAGCCCAACGCTCTAATCGCTCTGCCATGCTTGCTCCACCCATCTGTTTCCTTTATAAATACAATTCAAAATATTAAATGATTATTTCATTCTGCAAAGACAAAACGGGCAGATAGGTTTTTATTTTAAAGAGGGAAAGTAACTCAAAAGATTCAAGACTTCTTTTCTTCATGTCTGTCTCTTTTAGATGCCCAGTAGATGATACCGTGATGGACATTGCAACAGCAGACAAGCGGATGCAAAAATTCAAACTTGAAGCCTTCAGTTTCATAGGTGACCATCCGTTCGTGTACATGCATTGCAAGGTCTTGATCTGTAACGCAACAGATCCCAACTCACGTTGTGCGCAGGGCTGCGTTAATCGAGCAAAGAGGTCCCTATTGACTCAAGGATCCAAGAACGAGGAGGTACACTTGTCTCAGGGACCATTCATGCGTGGAGATGATGAAAAAGAAACTAAACTGGAGGAAACAGAGAAAGACATGCGTGATGTGGAAAAAAGTGGTAAGTTCAATGACACAGGCTTCATTAGGTCAATTAGTCGTGTTTTATACCTAATCTTCTGCGTCAAAAAACTGANTGAAAAGACATGTCATTAATGAGAAACCAAACAAGTTATCCTCTTCCCATGTTTCCTTTTTACCCTCATTCAAAGGAAAGGTTTTTACTAAAAGCTAACTGTAAATTAAATGAATCGTTTACCTAAAAAGAACAAAGTCTTTCGTTGGCATGACATAGATGACCAAGAGTTATTTTCCGACACTACAGTTAATTAACTTTCTCACTGAAGGCTTCTCTTCTTCTTTAAAGCCTCCATGCGTCACTGGAGTTATCATACACCCCCGTCTCTACAACGAGACTGCAATTCAGTCATCGTTTCATTTATAATGAATTCTGATATTCAAAATAAAAATTGCACTTTTATTACACTTCTTGAATTAAGAGAACTTCACGGTACGCTCCCTTTTATTCCTGACTTTACGTGTTTACCCATTCATAGTCCTCATTGTTGTAATACGTATCTGACCCATTGTGAAAGGTGCTTTACGTATTCTCTTTGTTTGTATGTATTAAAGTGATACTGAAGCTTCCACTCTACTATGTATTTTTATATATTTTGTCGTGTTCAAACGATTCTATTGTTCACTCGTCCTCATAATTTTCCAAGTCAAAACAATCCAAAACTCTTCGCGGGGTTTAAAAAAATGCAACTTTACGAGAGAAGGAGAAAAGCATTTGACCATTTACAGCTTGACGTCATAATACCTCAACTAACGTCAAGACGTTATTGCTTGCAGTAATGTTTCTTGCTCCTGATGTTAAAATCATCTTTGTTAGCCCTGGAGATGTTGCTGTATGATCTCTGACTTCTTATAAAAGAATTTAAATTATTATCATTCGCCATTGCCGCTCCCTCGTTAGAAGTGGCACAGAATTTGTTGTGAAAGTTAACTTCGTCGTCTTCTTCGTCCTGGTGCTCAAGGTGATTGGGGACTACGTTATCTCTATAGTCATCAAAATCGTCGTTTCTTCCATGACGCCTTCCATCGTTATCAGCTTCGTTCTGCTCACGGTGGAGAGGCTGCCGCTGGTGACGATCGTACCTTTTGGTACAAAAGTAGACAATCAAGGGTCCAGCAATGGCAACAACAGACAGAGCACCAAATATTATGTTGATTTGCTCATCAGTTAGGCGAGCTGAAAAAGTGGGGGGGAAATGCCTATTTGTCAGTAGGGAAAGAAAACTAAAAGCGAAATATGTCTGAAGTGCTTTGAAGATCACAAGTTAAAAATATGACACTCTTAAGGCGTTATTTTAAAAAATACAACATGATATAAAGTATTCGTGTCAGATATCATCAACAACTTACATGGTTGACAGCCATTAGGGCATGCGCACTTGTGGGTCACTTGAAATGTCTAGAGAGTAAACCACACAATCAATACAGTGATTTCAGCCACATGACCAGTGACTATGTTTCTTAGATAAAAGAGATCTTAACAAGAGAAAAATATTACATTTTTCAGACTGATTAATGTGGTAAACTGGCTTAATTAATTTAATAGTTAGTAGGGTACTTTATCCGCTGATTTTTGTAAAGAATGTTGTAACGTTGCATCCACTGGAAATGCTCTCGGATTTTAACACAGAAAGGAAAGATTTGGGCCATTTCCAAATTACCTCTATCCATTTTTTTTAAAGCGAGCATTGGTGCTCGTTCTTTCATCTAGTAACTTTATAGATGACTTTGTTGATGAAAATCTTTTGTTTTTGGCACTTTGGAAAAAAAATAACAACATGCAAACGAAGGGGCAAAAGTACTGTCTGGTAACTTCAATTCTACAAAGGCAATTAAAAGAAATCCATTTCATAACAAGCCTTTTTTTTGGTTCTAAGTTCGTGAACTTCCTAGGGAATCTTTCTGTATAAAGAGGCTGTCCATACCAAAAATAGAAGCATTTTTTCCTCAGATGTTTTGAACTGATATACGACTTACCATGGCCATGGGCCAGTTATCATGGATTATTTCGAACTTAGCATCTTTTATTCTTTTGAGAGACGGATCGCACTTGAAGTTAATTGTGGCTGTTAAAGAGGGGTACAACCTGGAAAGCAAAGATTTCAATTAGCAGTTAATTTTCAAAGGCCAACATAAATTGTAATGTTCAAGATTTCGCGACTGTTACGTGTAACACGTAGTAGGGTCGCTATAGCAACGGTTAACCCAGTCAGTACATGTTCTGATACCCTGTATCAAGTATGGACAGTCATTGTTAAATTCCAAAACATTTCCCACTTGCTTTCTTCTATTTTCCCGCACCGATACGTTGAAAACATAGATTTGGGCCTCATATGCACCCATGTCTTTAGACATACTTTGAGTTTTGGTATAACAGCTGTGGTGACCTGGTATCCGTATTGAAACCACAACTTGCCGTGGACTGCTTTCCAATATTTTGGTATTTTGATGCCCTTCTGTTCCAACGACAAATCTGAAAAGACGACGTGGAAAACCTTAGTCAGAAGTTGAGTATTCTCACGCAAGATTTGAATGAATTGCTCCTCATTGTCCTAAAAATATGCAAAGTAAAACAAAGGTAACGAGTCTTCATTTTTCGTCGGTAGCTCGAAATAGTCATCTGACTAAGAGCCTGCTTACATTTATATAGGGGTCCCAGGTAGGTGAGGTAACCAGCGGCGGGTCACCCCACCTATCATGTAAACGGGATCAAACTAAAATGAGAGATTATATGGAAATCCGGGTTACGCCACCTACCTGGGGTCCACGGCCTCCATGTAAACAGAAAGAAGAGTCGAAAAAAGGATTTGTGGTCACGCCTATGATCAAACTCGGCATCACCCGCACAGAAGGCCGCGCACTAACCAAATGTGCTCATCCTTCCTCCTTACCAACGACTAAAAGTGTTTTATGATTTTTACTCGGGTCGCATCATCGAAAATTAAAGTAATCAAAACAACTTACAGCTACGTCTCTAAAATAACAGCTGTTGTTACTAGGCGGTCCAAGCCCAAACGTTTGACATGGATTGTAGCTATACATATATTTATCTGATCCTGAAGCATTAAACCTGCTGGAATAACAAAAAGTCCTTAGTAAAGGTAAATTGGACCTTACTGAAACATCATTTCTCTTTTTCTCTAGGAACTTTAAGACAAATAGTGTTAATGGGACCACGTACACACGACTCACCTGAATCAAGCGTTAGCACTGAGAGTAAGGGTTAAAGTTATGGTGTAATGTTTTCTGCGTCTCGTGTAAAGACGGCATGAACTATTAGACTTGCTAGGTTCTCTGCTTGTCGTTTTAGATTAACAAACGCCTTGACCTTAATAAATCTTTCTCTGCCCATTTTTAGACTAACACGTCGCGACAATTATCGGACTCATAATTCAACTGTTGTTCGTCATTAAACACAGATACAAATAATTATAATGCACGTCTCAAACTGCGCCGCTAAGGTCGCAGTACTGTCAAGGGTAAGCCTAGGGGAAAGGGTGTAGCAACAATTGAACTGCGTCAAACTTTACGCACCCTTAAATTATAGTCAGAAAACCAAGACCACAAGGAACGGCTTTTCATGTACAAGAGCTGCTTTACGAACCTTGGTGATCCATCCCGGCTTTTTAGTGGGGCAAGGTTATAAATTTTGTCGTCTATGATGCAGGAGCATATATATGATTCGCCCTGGTCTGGCTCGGACATCTCGTTTCCGACAGCTCCTTGAAATAGAAGAAAGGTAAACAAGACAGCTGCGCATTCAAATCTTCTAACCCAACACATCCTTTGCATACTGTTGCAAACGCTAAAAAGAGATAACTCTCATAGTTAGTTTACATTACTTGACAGTCAAATCAAGCTCTACTTGACTGAAACAGTGAGATATAGCCAATTGCTTATCATTGAATAGAAACTTAAGTTACTCGTTCGAAATTGCCAAATGTTCAAAGCCATGTTTTATCATTTATTCGTCAGTTTTACAAAACTCTTCCTACTGGGTGTAATCTCGTTAACTGTGCCATCCTCCAGACAGCCTACGGCCGGTCTCCTGCCTTCCACAAGTGTTCCTTAACAATTTCGACAGCTACACTTTGATGTGATTGACATATGCCACTACTTATAAAAGGACGACAGCGTGTCCTAATTTTCTCGTTTGGTTAGGCGTGACAGTACAAGTTGGTTCAAATATAGTGGACGGACGGTCAGTCAGTGACCAGCGGTCAAGTGAATATTTGATGATGTTACATTGTAGGGGTTTGCTTACGGAGCTCCGCTACAAGCTTACTGTCCCGTGATCCCGTGAAGAATCGAAATTACACATCACTAAATATAGTAAATGTAACACTAAATATCCAGACAAGACTGTAACACGACCCCAGTGAGCGGAAAACCAGTGTAGTGACCTCCATATCATACTTAATGCCTATTTTTAAAGTAACATTGCCTTCCTAGTCTAAGATCGTGATGCATTTTACTTCAAACGATGAAAAATGTTTGGTTGACCCTTAGTGCGTCTCAGGAGTATTGAATACCAACAACAATTGGATAAAACAGCTTAGTAATACGTAATTATCATTGCCATATGTGACAGGAATACATACGGCAAGACATATCACATGGAACAAAAAGTTCCTTTCCTCTTTCTTACCTTTCTAAAACTTAACTTTCCTTTTATCTCTCCTTTTAGTATTTGTGTCCCTCTTGTTTATACATTCTACAAGGAAGCTTTGCGAATCGGTCATGAATGTCTTGCTGCCAATTCGGAAGGTCTTGGAACAATCGACTACATTTAATAACTCGTACGGTTCGGTTTCTCGGAAAGACTAGGGCATCACGTGACAATACTGTCAACTTATGTTTCTTCGTCACGCAAGACCAGGTCGATGCTTTTAACTTCAAGGGGTGGGCAAGTAAGTCGGGCTTGTAAAGCCCTGTAGTGCGACTAGAAGCGGTCGTATTGATATTACTAACTTTCAGACAGCTCCCAAACT